GAAGAGGGGGATAAGAAAGCTAGCTCGGCCAAGGTAGTATCCAAGAATTCAGAACTTCAACTAGCCACTCACTGTAGGGTTCCTACTGGACGACACTGGGAGATGGCAGATCTTCTGAAAAGACGAGAGAATATAGCCTGCTCAAGGAAACCAAATGGGAAGGCGAGAAGTTACGCGTTCGGAGATGGTCACAAGCTTCTCTATAATGGTACAAGTAGCAATGGAAGTGGCGTCGGTACACTGTCTCTGAAAACCTGGAAAGCGCAATAGCTGTCTCTGAAAAATCTGGAAAGCGCAAAAGCTGTCTTTGAAAACCTAGAAAGCGCAATAGCTTAAACGAGTATGTAACCGGCTTATGAGAGTAAAGACTCCTAGAAAAGATTTTTCGAGTTATTACTGGCTACACCACAAGCTGAATGAAGGAGAAGAAAGCTAGGAACACAATGATCGTATCAGATCAGCACAAAACGAAATGCTCATGCGTTGAGGGGCCTTAACGGGCATTGCGAAAAAAGCGAAATAGGCAGAAAAGATCACTGGAATTTGGAACATGTAATGAAGAAGGCGAGCGCACTTCACAACTTGGTGCTAGCAAACAATCCTTTATCAAAAAACGATCACCTTAAATAAAACTCAAGTGTTTCTTGAAGAATAGAATTTGGGCGTAAGGCAAAACGAACTCAAGAATGTGAGACTGCAATGGTATCCCAGGCGAGAGTTGCATATCTTAACAAGCCTCTTTTTCTCAACCTCAGAGTTTCAGATGATAGTCAAGGGAGAAGAATCAGTACAAATATACAACGTATCAAATGGTAGAAATTAGAAGGGAATGGCTAGGGATGCACTGATAACAACTATACCAAAATTAAAAGAAAAGCCAGAGTAATCTTGATCAGCCCTGAAAACCAATGTCCGCCATATGGCGAGAAATGTTCTAAGCCGCAAAAAGCCAGAAAAGCAAGAATATATAAGAGATGGTGGAGTGATGAAATACGGGCGGTGATACAAGGCAAAATATATATGCATTCGAACAACGTCATGAATGGAAATCGGAAGAGCATCTCCGGAAACACCTGCAGGCAAAATATAGAGCAAGAGTTTGTGTGAAGCTTAACAAGCTTATATAGGAAAGCCTTACAAGAACTTGGAAACATGGGAAACGATAAGTATGTCAAATCGCGAAAAGGAGAGAACAGTCCACAAAAGGTAGAGCATTTCTACCAATAAATGCCAGTTTGGAAGATCTCTAGAAGACCGCAGGACAACATAGGAGATGGCGGACATACTTTGATGAGATGTTCACGTCCACTATTAACAACATCGTCCCAGTTGATCCTGTAGAAGGACCGGTGCCATCCATTCAGAAGATGAAGTCTGGATGGCAATGCCCAAGACAACGAACGGCAGTGCAATCGGTCCAGATGATATCTCCAGCGAGCTCTGGAAAGAGCGGGACAGCGTGGCGTTTCTTGGCTCTAGACTTTCTCAATCAGGTCATCAAAGCTAAGAAAATATCTCGAGATTGCCAGTACCAATATTGAAGAATAAAGGTTGTCCCAAACTGTACAACATGTCGACCAAACTGGACGATGGTCACACTCCGAAGTTCGAAAGAATACTCGAGACAAAACTTTGAAAAATTGTAAAGTTGTCACCAAGCTTTTTGAAAGGTTCTTGGGCTAGTCGCCATTCATACTGTCTGGGTAGTAATGGAAAGGTATAGGGAAGTCAGAGAAGGTTGCTTGCTAAATTTCAGCATTTCAATAGCCACCAATTTCTTACAAGATTTGTTGACGATCTCTTAATTATTGGGAGTTGCGCAGTCGCCAGCACTGCTTTAGAAGGTTTTCAAGTAGAACAGGGTTAAGAATAGGAACTTTTGTTTTTCATAAGATTTTCCCAATATTGAAAAAAATGCGCGTTGTTTGATGCTTGCTTCGGAACATTGTTTTAATGAATGCTGAAAGTAAACTTCCATCGATTGAGTAAAAAATAGTATCATGTGAATTGAACTAATGACAGAAGGGTTCCTGTTTTGCTCATAGAAGTTAGGAAGTGGATATTATATGGTCATTTGTGTGGACTTCGATTTCAAGCTCTCTACAACGATACACATCTTGGCAGCATTACTCCGCAAAGAATAGGAAACGGTACCAAACCAGATGTGGAAGATGCAGGGTTACGATGAGAGTATTATGCATTGTGGCAGTGATACAGAACGGCCGCAGTTGACGAGGCATTTGGTCGCAGGAGC